TCAGTATGTTAACTTTTACCTGGGTCTTTAGATCATTTTGTTTAAAATTGACATTTTTGAGTCTTGTCGCTGTTGTAGAAAGAATTTTCAGAATTTGTTCTTTGTCAATACTCCCTGTTGCAAGTTTGTTCAAATTTAAACCGGTTTCTGTTGGATGTCAGGGTGATGGCATGACCAGCATTGAACCGACTGGTGGAACAATAAATGACATATGTGTGTTCAGGGACAGTGGACTGATGTTACTGGCCTTGGATTGCAGCCAAATACCCTCTTATTTCGTACCTGCTCTTGGACCTGCCCCTAAGTGGTGTGCTTATCTTGAAAGCTTGACGGTCTGGTTCTAAAGTGTTATTTGCTTCTACTCTATTCTATCCTTGGTGAGTACTATAGTTTCATTCAAGTTTTTCCTTTTATAGGAGGAGCTTGAGGAGGGAGGTCAAACGACTATATATGACGACTTCAAATTTGTAACAAAAGAGGACCTTGAAAAGTTGAATTTGACAAACTTGATCGGCACAAACCTTCTAAGAGCTTATATGCATGGGTTCTTTATTGATCACCGTCTTTACAAGAGAGTGAGTCCATCTCCTCTGATTTTATGCTGTAAAATGCTTTATTATGCTGCAACTTTTGTTTTGGTCATTTACCATTGATCTTGCATATAGGGGAAAATGTTCTCGACATTTGTTTGAGCGAAGTTCTGCTTCCCGTGCCATTTTAGCTTGACACCAGTACACGTCTCTCTGTTTGCATGGGAACATGCATAAATAGGCACTTGTCCACTTATGTGTATGCGTAATCATGTAGGGTTTACCCAGAAATTTTTCCAAAATTACAACCTATTGAGTTTATATATGCACAAAAAAATTATTCTGAAGAATTGGGCCCTTATTATTAATTAGATGGTTTTGATAATTCAGAGAAATAGGTTGGGAAAATGCAATGAAATATTGATTATGCTGATTTCAGAAGTTCATTTTTTAATTATTGTTAAACAATAGTGTTCTTGTATCTGATGTAGGGGATGTTCACCTTTGTATTGCTAATGACGTGATGTCAGGATGTTTTACTTTATGCATGTAATATTGCAGCCTGTATTGCCTTAAGTTATGGATTGTGGGAGGAAAAAAAACCCTGCTTTTCAAGTTTTTAAGTTTCCTTGCATGTGATTGAGTATATCTAGACTTTTGAGTAATGAGCTGATCATTATTGATAAAGATCTTTTAGAGAAAATATGAACGCAACTCTTTTTCTCAATATAATTTCGAAATTGCAGGCAAAGGCATTAGCAGATCCTTTTGCATATGATGCATATATAGAGCAGAGAAAGAAAGAGAAGTTAGAAGCCGAACGTGCCTCTCGGATCACGGTTAGTGAATGCAAGATTTCCTTACTTGTTTGCATATGATCTCTGTAGCTATTTAGCCTCATCTTAGCTTTGCATAAATGGGAATGACACAGCAGATTTGGCTCCAGAAGCTGTTGGAAGCTTTTCTAAGTGTAATTGGTTTGACATGGGCAAATGCTTCCTAGTCGGCCATTACCTGTGAGTAGTAATCATTTAACTAATTGATTATTGTTTTTTTCTTGCAGATTAAAAGAAAATTACCTAAAGTTAACAGGGTTCTTGCTGCTCGTCTCCTTGAGAATGATGACGCTGAAAACGAGAATAAAGAAAGTGAAGACAATGAGTCCAAGAAAAAATCAAAGAAGAAGAAAGGACTCGACAGTGAAGTTCTTAAAGATGAAAGATTTACAGCTATGTTTGAAAATAAGGTAAAGGAAACCTCACACGCCATACTGTGCTGAAGGGTTTAGCTGGTGCTGAAGCTCTTGCTTTACTTTCTCACTCTGGCACCCAACTTTCTTCAGTAGATTTTGCATGGTCTGATGCTGATGATGAACTGATTATTCTTAGGAGAATAAGTAGTGTACATATGCACTTATACTTATTTCAACGAGTGTGTGGATATATGTATGTATATTTGGAAGTTGCCAATGGCTAGGTTTAGTCTTGTCGTCTTAAATTTGCAAAATCCTAGGATGTTAAGTTTCAAAACTTATGGTTTGGTTATTTTATTTGTGTGCCTATTGAAATTCGATATACTTTTGATTGTTGTCCACAGGACTATCAAATTGATGAACAATCACAAGAGTACATTTCCTTACATCCAATGTCTTCCAAGAAGCAACCATCGTTGGTTGAGGAGCATTTTGAGCCTGTTGGAATGGAGGATGATGATGGTTCAGATTATTCTGATGCCTCTGCTGAGTGTCAGACATCAGAGGAAGAGGCTGATGATAGAAGCAAAAAGAAGTCTCATGTTCCAAGGTAAATTTTCTCCATAGCCAATTATGGATGGTGTGGTGGACAGTGCCTATTACCTTGCTGAAAATTGGGGGGAATCAATGTTTCCTCTTTACCCGGTGTGGGGTCTCATTAATGACTTCTCCTATGGATTTCTGTGGCATGCATGTATGTTTTAAAACCCGCAGGCTAAAAAGAACACTGGAAGTGAACTGCGTGGACTCATTGGATTGAGTGTCGGGGATACATGAGATTTGCTTTTTATTTTTTATGGCTAATATTTTCTGTTGATGAATTGTAGATTATATGAAGTTAAGGACGAGCGTCACGCAGAGGCGTTCTTCAACCGCGTGTCACTAGCAAAGGAGGATTCTCTTCCTTTGGGAGAGAGGGTGGCGGCTCTCCAACGCGGCCAGCGCACTCCTGGTGCTGCAAAGGATGTCAAGTTGGGACCGGGAGGGTCCAGAGAAATATCCTTTATTTCCAGAAGCTCAGCCAAGTATGTAGAAGACGAGGAGGACAGAGATCCCCGGCGTGAAAAGAGGAGGGGAATTCAATCACTAGGGTTGAAGTCGGATAAACAAGGCTTTCCCGGCAGAGGGAGAGGACACCGTGGGAGAGGACACCGCGGGAGAGGAAGAAGAGGTCGCCGGTAACTGACACAGTGGTCTCTCTTTGTATCCCTTTTTGTTCTTGTATTATGTAGCATTCTAAATTAGTTGACGAGGCATACGCGAGGGTTGTCACTGAAATTGCGGTGCCTATTCTTTTTGACTCATTGGATAGAGGATTAACTCTAGATCTGGATGCTCAGGGAGTTCAATCTTCCCCTGTTTGGGGGCATTGTAAGGTAACACAATTTCACGTGAGTGAGCAGTGGTTGGCTCCAAGAGAACGTAAGTTTCTCAAATGCAATTTCATTTTTGGTTACGCTCAAATGCAATTTTCGTTTTATGGTTACACTAAAAGTGCAATTTCTATGAAGTCCCGATATGTAAAAGTTAGTCCATGACGGCCAATATTGTTCAAAGAGTAATTTATTGTATGGGGGCCAATTAAATCTGCAACCTTTCAATTATGGCAATTTAGTCATAAACTTTTCAATTGTATCAATTTTATCCTAAACTTTTTGATGATTTGTTAATGTAGTCCTTTCGGCCAAATATCCAAATAATATACTTAGGACTAAATTGGCAAATTTTCAAATGGTTTATGATTAAATTGATACAATTGAAAAGTTTATGACTAATTGGCAAATCATCAAAAGATTTAGGACTAAAATGACATAAGTGAAGGGTTTAAGACTGAATTAGCCTCCTGTCCGTCATGGATATGAATAATACTTGTCATGGGGGTATAAGTGAAGGGTTTAAGATTGAATTGGCCTCCTGTCCGTCATGGGTATGAACAATACTTGTCATATCCATGAACATAGTATATGGTACTAAACTGAATTAAGACCATTGAGGGTAGTGAGAAATTATTGGATATGTATTCGTCACGTCCTTTTTTTAGTCATTACATTATTTAATAAAAGGGTATTCTTGGAATGTTTAGTTAAGTGAGAAAAAAAATCCAATGTTGACTTAAATACATAGATAGAAATAGGTAGATACTTATAAAATAATCCCTCGGAGCTTATGGCGATTCATGCACGTGAATTGTGGTGATAACCTCGTTTCTGCTCGTGTTTTGGTGTGCAGGGCATGCGCACTTCACAAGTCACTGTTTTTCTTTTTCCTTTTCTTTTACCAAAAGAAGAAAAAAAGGAAAGCTGAAAATGTATGATGCACGATTTACATCTAATCAGGCATTAAATAAATGACCGTCCCAATCGGTTTAGTCCGAGTCAGATATCTTATTATAAACCAATCGAAGCGTGTGCATGAGGATAATACATATTCTATTAGGATGGTATCCTCATAATTGAATCGAATGAGCCACTAAACAAAGACCATTAATTGCACTCAATCAAGACATAGGAAATAAGTAAAGAAACATCCCTCAAGTTGGGGAGGAGAGAGAGAGAGAGAGATAGTTTACCGTATCAATGGAATGAAAGCTGACAAACAAAGTCAACACATGGGTATGCTTATGCTAATCTATGGTTCATGTTAAAAAGTTTAACTCAAAAACTTAAACTGATAAATAAAAAGAGATTGGATATATATAATGATTATATAAACCTCATTGTCAAGCAACGTAGGACATTTTCAATACCCTTTTTCACGTGTAAGCCGGATTAGGAGTGACACGTGAAATTTAAATAACGGAGGTGTACACACACGCTAAAATAGCATAAGCTGGCTCTAATAGCATATGAAGAAAGTCGAACTCAAAAGTTTAAATTGATGAGCGGAGAAGTGGTTTAATACTTAGATATTCTAACAGTTCATATGGCATGTGTTTTAACCAAATGAATCGAGAAAAAATGGGTCCTTTCGTCGCTCCACATGTACAAATAGTAGAATAATATATAGGAGTCTGCTCGTGTATGGACCGCAACAGAAGTGAGCAGAGGATGCTTAGCCACACAAACCCACGAGCCATGCACACACTTGGGACACAACTATGCACGCTAGGTTAAGTTTTAGATAATACATCCATAATCAAATTTTATTCGAAAGAGATAAAAATCCCATCTTGTTGATGTCATGGGACTTGATCAACCCTATTATTATTCCCGAGAAAATAAAGAAATTAGTCATCTTTTTCCAATATATTATGCGATTAATCCTTAGCTGAGGTCGTTAATGGAAGTTTATATATAAACAAGTCATGGTCATCTCACCTTCTTATCGAACTAAAGTTTTCAAGAACCTCAAAAAGGAGTAATTCATACCGATGTTGTCTTTTTCTCCCGGTGGTTGGCCTTTAGAGGATTCCGCAAGCCATGAACAAAAGAGCTACATGCACAGAGATGCCTACACTTGCTATTCACCACCTCTTCTCCATTTCCCCTTCTTATCACCAGCTACACCGTCTCCTCAGGCGGAGCTAGCGTTCAATCCTTTCGATATCCCGTTTGCAGTGGCGAAAGGTGAAGCAACGACGGTCAAGAAGTTGAACCACAATGCCAGCGAGCGTGATCGGCGGAAGAAGATGAATGGTCTGTACTCCACGCTCCGTTCGCTGATCCCGGCTGCTGATCAAATGGTAATTATACTAGTGCTGTTAGTCCTATGTCTATGAGGGAGTTGTTAGAAGCTTTTGTTTTATTTCCTTTCCTTGGATACACTTTGGCAAAATTAACAAGAGTGATGGAGAGAATAATCAAAATTAGTAGCTACTGGACATTGTGCAATCATATATAACCCTAGTTTCTGTAATTTTTCTCTAAATCCTTTATTTTCTTGGGTATAAATTCATCTCTCGATCTTCTTTCCTGACAATTCGGATCTTTTATGGCTTCAAACGGATTCTTTGACCTAACCCCTGCCTATTGTTCAACTTCATTATGTTTTTAGTGTGAAAATGATACTTTAAATGTTGTAATTTTCGTACAACGTTTACTTTAGTACTAAAACTTTTCGAGTGATCACTTCGGTGTCACTTTGATAAAACATGATCACTTAAATGCTATCGCTAATTTGGGACTTCGGAAATCAGATGTGGCAATATTCTAATATTTTTTGCGACCGATGTGGCTGGCCAGCATAGTGAGTTAGTATGAATTGACCTAAACAACGTTGTCTCGCACATGATTGCCCCAAATTCAGCCTCTTCTTCTAACCCCAACCTCACAATCGTTGATTTGGAGAAAATTTCAGCCTCTTCCTCAAATCCTAACCTCACAACCGAGGATATGGGGCAAAATTAGTACTGAAACTTGCAATGGAGGTCTGTTACTTCATTTGTGTGATTTTGTTTCACCGGAATTGAAACTTGCAATGGGCTTGCGCTTGTAGAAGGTGGAGTTGGAGTTGCAGAAACCGTTTCTGTGGTTGATTTGGTGTGGTTTGGTCACCATTGGAGATAAATCGTGACTTCCTGAGCTTTAAAACAAGCAATTTCTCACTCTCAGATTGATCTGTGCTGGGTTTAAAAAGAAAGAGTTTTAAGGTTCAGGTCATCGTCCACGTCGGACTTTCTTTTTAATGAAATAGCCACGTGGACACTAAAATATTATAAAAAAGCCACGTGAGATGAATTACTGTAATTTATCGCCGGAGATTCTTGAGGGATCATTTTTCCACATATGTGAGACTAGAGCAATCGCTCGAAAAATTTTGATACCGAAGTGAGTACGGTACGCAATTTATGACGCTTCTAGTGTCATTTTTCCATTTTTTATCACTAGCTGCTTCAACCTCAAGTCAGTGCACACTCAATTTATCTCAACATTTAGGTACTAGAGAAACTAAAGAAAAACACCCCAAAATTTAGGTTTTAACAGAGTTTGGTCTCAATCCTTTTCTTTCAGAAAAAGTTAAGTATCCCGACGACGGTGTCCCAAGCGCTGAAATACATACCAGAACTACAACAGCAAGTGGAGAAACTCACTCAAGAGAAGGAAAAGCTGCTATCAAGAATTAATGCTACCCGAGATGGAGATTATTGCACTAATCACCAAGAGATTAGCAACGGAAAAGGCTCGCTTCAAAATTTGGTGCCATCTATCTCCACGACTCGTTTGAGTGAGAGCGAGGTTGTAATTCAGATATGCACCAGAAAGGTCTCGACTCATAAGACTATCGATTTCTCTGAGGTCTTGCTTACCTTGGATTATCATGGCTTCCCTCTAGTAAGCTCTTCCACCTTCGAGTCATGCGGAGGAACAAGAACAACCTTCTACAATCTACACGTTCAGGTACTTTACCTTCGTTAATGACCCGTTATTTTCTTTGATTAGATTTAAACTTACAGAATTCTCCACGACATGCTATAATTGTATAGATGTATTTGATATGTGAAGGTTGAGAGAAGCTCGGAGATGGAGTGTGAGGCTTTGAAGGAGAAGCTGTTAGCATTATTTGATCATCGGAAGAGGAGCGACATAAACTTCCCGAGGCAACTTGGGAACCAGATATTGTAATAGTTTCTCCATTAGTTTTAAGCTTTCGTCAGAAGAACGCTTCAACGAATTTATGTCAGTGAAGCCTTTCAACCAGGTGTTTTGATTATGCATTCCTGCACATCTTTCATGTACACTGAGAATGTCTTTGAGCGTATTTTTGAAGATGTAATTTTATTTTGCCTGGTTCGAAGAGCTTTAGATGATAATGATTGTAAACTATCTTGCTTTAACTTGTGATTAGACTTGTCAAATGGGTGGGTTTGGTTGAAAATGGTCTGACCTAAATAAACCCAATTAACCCGTTTTGATCCATTTCCATGTAATGTAAATCTAATGACCCATACCCGTCCCATACTCGACCCGACCCGACCCATATCGCTAAAATACTTTCATAATTAACTAAATCTAGAAAAATTCATATCCAAACCAAGATGAGAGTGCGGAGTGAGTGAACGCGAGATTGAGCAAGGGCGAGAGAGATGAGTTGAATTTAAATAAGTTGTAAACCCATCTATGACCAATTTACGACCCATTTAACACTCATATTATGCTTATATCCATTTATGACTAATTTACTAAATATAACTAACCTATTTATGACCCATTTACTGATATATGGGTTACGAAATGGGTTCATGATCCATTTTGACAGGTTTGCTTGTGATAATGGACACTTAGAGTATTTTTTTCTTCTTGGGTAATTCAAGACACATCACAACTATTTTTTAAATGTATATGAATGACAAAAGATCTAGACAAACAATGATATCAATATGTTTAGGATGGGTTATTGAGTGATAACTATGATAATTAGCTTTAAATATAGGGTTAATATCACAAAAAACTCCAAACCGGTACACATGTGACAATTTTACCCAAAACTAATTTTTTGACAAAAAAAAACCCCAAACTGGTACAGCTGTGACAAATTTACCTCAAACTAATATTTTGACCACTAAAAACCCCAAACTGGTACATTTGTGACAAATTTACCCTTCGTTAATTTCCGTTAAATTGGATTAATACCATAAAAAATCAAAAACTGGTGCACCTGTGATAAACAGAGGGTAAGACATAAAATTGGCATATCAGTCAACTACCGCGTGTCATTTAACAAAACATTTGACTGTAAAATTTAACGGAAATAAACTGAGGGTAAATTTGTCACAGGTATACCAGTTTGGAGTTTTTGGTGGTCAAAAAATTAGTTTGGGTTAAAATTGTCACAAGTGTATCAGTTTGAGATTTTTCGTGGTATTAACCCGTATATATAAGAAAAAAAGTGTCATTTGTATCACTTTTTGATCTCCAAAATTAGCCTTGCAAGAACAACATTTATCGAATACCAAGTGGTTAGACATCAAGAAGGAAACTCAATGCGACAAGGTATATGCTCACTGTGGGAAAATTGTTCAAAAAGTACTACACAAATAATACGGCGGCCAATTCAGTCTTAAACTTTTCAATTTGGCCAATTTAGGTCTAAATCTTTTGACGATTTGCCAATGTAGTCATTTCAACCAATTTTGGTTGGAAATCGCTGACGTGACCGCCGACTGTCCTATGTAGCACATGTGACGTCAACATGGACAATTTTTGCAATTTTTTAAAAATTTATTGAATTTTTATAGATATTTTGATTTTTCCTTTTTTATTTTTTTCTTTTCTTTTTTTTTCCTCTATTCATCTTCATGGAAGGGCTGGCGCCTCGGCGATGGCCACTTTTCTACTGATGGAGAACCTTAACTCCGAGCAACCGTGACTATCCACAAGAAAATACTCGTAGCCATGTTTATCTCGTGTAGTTTCATTCTCATTTGCATCTAAGTGTTGCTAAATAACGTCAAACTATTCACAAGAAAATCTACCCGTAAAATGCATCTCGAGCATTGTTGATCAAGAGATACTTACAGAATAAACCCAAGCCAAAATCAGTAGAGGAAGAAAAAAAAAAAGGGAGGGAAATAGAGATGGAAGCAAACTTTGATCGGGGTGCTGCACAAAGATTATAATCAAAGGTTGTGTCTTGATCAGCAGGGACTTTCCTAGACAAACAGAAGTCCCAACCATGTTACATTCCGGGACCGCTTGGGTGAAATATGTTTACCGGAAATGAAAGGAAATTTCCGCGTTCCTGAATCAAGATAACAGAACCCTAAAAAAGTCAGCAGACCACTAGAACTGTCAATCCTTGGTTTCAGATATTGATCTGGAGATGTGGAACTGCCTTCATACGTTGCTGCATAAATCACAAGGTGACAGGACCCTTGTAGTTTCATTCTCAAAACTAGTCAAGAAAAATTCATTTTTAATAGACTGTTTATTTTTACATATCCATATGTATCCTTGTGTGTACATTTCAGTTCCTTGGAGAAATAAGTACATAGCATCCTGAACCGATTCGCTTTTTCAGATGTTCGTTGGGGCATCCAAGAATAGCCTGGAACATCGATATGGTCAGATCTACTCCAGCAATTGAAAGTATCAGCAATTCATTAACCGTCTATAAATAATTATAATAAGAAAGTTGGGTAGTATGGAACTTTGTAGTTGAGCCTCATTATCACAGAGTTGCATTCCCTTCCACTTCGCTTACATTAATTAAATAAAAAAGCTTAATTACTTATTTAGCATTGGTGATTCGTCTAATATATATTTAGAATTGGTTCATGTAATATACAAAGAGGTCAATACAATTTATTGAATTTGTTGAATAATTATTATCTGGAATCTTTTAATATTGAAGTTAAGAAAGCATGCTTTCCTATTTCTTATGTATTGGCTAAAGAAGTTTGCAATATACATATAAAGTTTTTTCCTTACATATCTGATAATGATTTACAATGTATCTTTCTTTATTTTTTTGTATTTCTAGATAACTGAATTTTTGCTACCTTTTCCATGGATTATGACGAAAGTGACGGAGGGTTGAGGTATGTATCTTCTTCTTTTAAGTGTTTCTTTTTTGTAAATGTAATTGAGATACACTCATTTCAACAAGTGAAAAACATAACTATTAATGAAGGATTACACAGTTTATAATGCCATAATTTTGTAGATTTCCATCGACTCATATTGATTTTCACATTCTACCTATCTTTTCCAAATTAATGGGTAAATGGGAGAAGTCCAACGAAGAGCAATGTGGAAAAGAACAAGTTGATGTTGATCTTAGTGGAGATTCTGAAAGTGGAATATAATTGCCTCTATGAACAACAGAGACAAACGTATTTCTTGTTTTAGCATCTAATTGAGTTTCCATCCTTATATTTGGATATGATGTTGGTGATGCTATGGAGCAGTGTCTTTTCATGGTTAGTGTCTTTGGAGTAAAGTCCTCTTTCATAGAATACTGTGGACTACATAACTATAGTTTACAACCAAATCAAGTTTGTCACCGCATCATTATGTGCATCATCCATAGCCCATTGATGTTAATGGTTGAGGATTAAAGCCACTAGGAACAACTTCTGCACCAGAGAGAGAAAATTATATGAATGCAATGCCCGAAGGGAATTCCCTTGTTGTTACAAAAATTTACGTGAAACAACGCTATAATAACCAAAATTCACCGAATATAACGACAATTTCTCATTCCAAACAATTATATGGAAACCAACTAAAGTTCAAAAGTATTAAATGGACAAAATTCATTGACTATAATGGCTACATTTTCCTAAAGGCAGCATGAATGAGGTATGTCTAGATTTTTAAGGTGAGTAGCTAACTAATTTAGTATGACCAAAGAATTTTTGGCTAAAAAGAAAAGGAGGAATAGTGCCACTAGTGGCATTTTAGAACGAAAAATTTAGACATACCGTTGAGAGTGCTTCCGGGCGGCTCGTGGTTATGTCATGCATCTACGGACTATGAGGGATTCTCTTTGCTATATATCGACATCAAATTAGCTCTCATGCATGTATGGCCAGACAAATGTCTTTCCCAGAGGCAGAGTCAATGGTAGAAGATGGGATTGGCCGGCTTCGCTGTTCAATGACTACTGAGCTAACATCATTTGCTTCAACCATCTCTTTATTTTACTACTTAGGCACTGAATGATGTTTTCAGGAAAAAAAAAAGAAAGAAAAAGAAGAAGAAGAGCCCTTCAAAATGTCGTCCTGAAAAATCGACACCTTTCTATAAATCTCTCGACAGTTTCCATTTGCACTGACCCTGCCTTTTGTTTCTTCTTGTCATGCTCTCATATCTACCCGCTTCCTCGTGCTTTCACTCATGAAACTCTTAAGCATTAGTTTTGCGGAGTTTCAATCATGCCATTTGCTTCTTGGTATTGTTCTTGCACTTTGCTTTTACCAAGTCTCCTGCACCACCAATGAAACGGACAGACTCGCGCTGCTTGCATTTAAAGCCAGCATAATCGGAGATCCTTTCGGCGTGCTCAACTCATGGAACAATAGCATTGGGTTTTGCCAGTGGTATGGCGTTACGTGCGGCCGGTAGCACCGGAGGGTCACGGTCCTAGACTTGCTATCACAAGGACTCTTCGGATCAATCTTTCCTCACATTGGGAATCTCAGCTTCCTAAGAGAAATGCTGCTCCAAAACAACAGTCTCGATCATAAAATCCCTCCACAACTTGGCCAGTTGCATCACTTGCGTATCCTACTACTAAACAACAATTCATTGGTTGGCAAAATACCCAAGAACATATCAGGTTGCTCTAACCTTGTTGGCCTCTTCCTTGGATACAACCAACTACCTGGACAAATTCCTAGAGAAGTTGGTTCATTATCATAGCTACGGCGTTTTTCTTTGTATAGAAATAATCTCACTGGGAGTGTACCTTCCTCCATTGGGAACTTATCTTCACTGGAGATCCTTTTTCTCACCCTGAATAACTTGGGCGGGAGCATTCCCCGAGTTCTAGGCCACCTGACAAACTTGCAAGTCATTGGCGTTGGAGTAAACAGATTGTCAGGTACAATTCCATTTTTGTTATTCAATCTCTCTTTGCTAACTGGGTTTGATGCTTCAAACAACCGGATACATGGGACTCTTCTCGCAGACGTAGGCCTCAAACTCCCACATCTTGAATTGTTTTCTGTTCTCGGGAACCAACTTGAGGGGTCAATTCCTCCCTCAGTATCGACTTGCACGAACCTAGATAAGCTTCTACTTGCAGTTAACAGACTTTCCGGCCAAGTACCTTCTTTGGAAAATTTGTATAAGATTAGTTGGCTTCTAATCTATGATAATCAGCTTGGAAGTGGAAAACCTGAAGACTTGAGCTTCCATTGCTTGTTAACTAACTACACCAAATTACAAGAAGTGGGTATTAACTGGAACGAGTATGGTGGGGTGTTACCTAACTGCATAGGTAATTTATCCACCACTCTCACAAAATTTAATGTAGCCCGGAATCAAATATCGGGGGAGATCCCAAAAGAAATCGAGAATTTTGTCAACTTGGAATTATTAGCTATGGGTTCCAACCAACTTTCAGGTGCTATATCCTCAAATTTGGGGAATTTACAAAATCTAGCAATATTGTACTTAGGTGACCTAGGAGGGACTATCCCATCTTCCTTGGGAAATCTAACCACGTTGATTCAACTATATCTTGGTGGAAACTACTTTGGTGGGCGAATTCCGTCACATCTATCAAAATGCTGGTCTCTTTATATGCTTGATCTGTCCAATAACAATCTCAGTGGTGCCATACCCCCACAATTTATAGGTCAATCATCACTAGCGATCTCTCTAGACTTGTCTCGTAACCATCTGACTAGAATTCTACCTATAGAAGTTGGCAAGTTGAGAATGTTGACCGCGTTGGACATCTAGGACAATTTTTTGGGAGATGAAATCCCAAGTAGTTTAGGTGATTGTATTGAATTGACATCACTGAGGATGAGGGCCAACTCCTTCCACGGGTCCATTCCTCAATCAATCAGATGGTTAGGAGCCATTGAAGAACTAGATTTTTCACGCAACAACATGTCAGGTTAGATTCCAACATTCTTAGCAGTATTTCGTTTCTCGATACTTCTAAATTTATCGTACAATAAGTTTGAAGGCATGCTACCATGTGAAGGAGTCTTTAAAAAAGCTACCGCTACTTTTATAATTGGGAACAATGAGCTTTGCGGCGGATTGCCAGAATTTTACCTCCCCAACTGCATCTCCAAAAGCTCTACGAGTAGAAAGATCAATGTAATGATATTGTCCGCTTCTGTTATTTTCAGAGTTCTTGGAATAGCTTTTATTCTAGCTTTTATATATCTCTGTTGGTTGAAGAAGAAAGTAAATGAACAAGTTTCAAGTTTGAAGGATGATTCATGTCCGAATGTTTCTTATGGAACACTTTTAAAAGCAACTGACGGTTTTCCTTCAGCGAATTTGATCGGTGTTGGAAGCTTTGGTTCCATTTATAGGGGATCCTCAAGGACAATGAAACCGTTGTTGCCGTGAAGGTGCTTCATTTAGTCTGTGACGGTGCTTTGAAGAGTTTCATAGTCGAGTGCGAGGCATCAAGGGGCATCAAACATCGAAATCTTTTGAAGATATTAACAGTTTGCTCAAGTAGTGATTATCAAGGAAATGATTTTAAGGCCTTATTCTATGAATACATGGACAATGCAAGCCTAGAACGGTGGCTACACCCAAATGCAACGTCATCTCATGGGAATGAACTTCCGAAAAATTTGAACTTCATTCGGAGGATAAATATAGCCGTTGGTATTGGTACCGCACTGAATTATCTTCATCATCAGTGCCGTGTCCCCATTGTTCATTGTGATCTAAAACCTAGCAACATCCTCTTAGATGCTGAGATGGTCACACATGTTGGCGACTTTGGATTAGCAAAATTCCTTCTTGGATCATCCCTTGATACTATAGCTAACCAGATGAGCTTAGTGGGTCTTAAAGGGACAATTGGCTATGCTCTACCAGGTAATCTCTCTCTCTAAACCAAGAAAGTTTTATGACAAAAAAAAAACCAAGAAAGTTTATTTACCGGAAAGTTATTGATGGGTCTTCGTGTTGAAGTTTGGTTGCTAACGATAGCTCTTATAGTCTTATGCACATTACACACCAGTTTGATGATCCACACTCCAAATTGACCAGCACTATGATATGATCATGTGGCAGAATATGCAATGGGATGTGAGGTTTCAAGGGAAGGTGATGTCTATAGTTATAGCATTCTCTTACTGGAGATGTTTACTGGGTTGAGTCCCACCGATGACACATTTAGAGACAATTTGACTCTTCATAGTTTAGTCGCAAAAGCTTTGCCCGAACAAGTGCTTGAAATTACAGACATCGTTCTGCTTCAAGAAAGAGATAGCCATTTCGGCCCCTATAGTCCTCAGCATTGGCTTTCCGAAAGCAATGATATATTTCAAGAATGTTTGGTTATGGTGTATGATATTGGAGTTGCTTGTTCGCATGAAGTGCCTGGAAGACGTTTGAGCATCCGTGGAGTTGCACATCAGCTGCATCAGATTAGGGAGAAACTCTTTGCATTGGGTTTACATGAACAAGATGAACTACTAACAACTTATATTTAGTTGTTAAACTTCTCGTGTTGTCTACGTAAAAGGAAGCTTGTCTACGTAAAAGGAAGCGGACAGGTAAAATCAACAACTGAAGAGAGAATCAATCATTCTTTTTTACTTAAGATGATGGCAAAAGGACACTATAAATGCCATAAGTTGTGTACGGAGGTCGCTTTGGTGCCATAACTTTTTTTCGGATCACTTTGGTGCTAAGTCGGAGGAAAAGAGATCATTTTAGTGACTCCAGCTAAAATTCCGGCCAAAAAGCTGACATGGCGTTTTTCATTTAAAAAAAGAGCGTGACGTGGATATTTGGTTCAAAATTTGATTTCCACGTGGACGAGCAAAACAACGTCGTTCAATCAAAGGTCTTAGCATCACGTCGTCGCTGTCATCTCGTTGCGAGTTACACCCGCTCTTCTGCTTTGTCTCCCTCGTCCAGTCACCGTCGCCCATCGCTCGACGCTTGTGGCGCCTTCATCCCGTCGCCATTGCCATCGCCCGTCGCTCGTTGCTCGTGGCGCCCTCATCCCGTCGCCGTCGTTGTCTCTTGCCTTCCCCCCGTGGTCGGTCGGCGTCGCTCCCTCATTCTGTGGACTGAGCATCACTCGTCCCATCGGCATTGGTCCCATCTCCGTGGCAAATTACGAAGGTCAGTTTTCAAATAAGGGCTGTTAATTTCTATTTTGCTGAATTGATCGACACATTGTGCCTCATTATCTTATGTTTCACTCAATTAATTGGTAGATTAGGGCTGCCTTTGGGATATTAGGGTTTGAATTCGGAAATTAGGGCTTGAACTTGGGAAATTGGGGCTCGAACTTGAAATTAGGTCTTGAACTTTTGAAGTTAAAGCTTGAACTTCATAAATTATGGCTAGTTGTTCGGATATTAGGGCTTGAAGTGGATTCGGTTGTGTTGGTGCCGGGCTGAGTATATGCTATAGACTGTGGTCCATGTGAGGACCTCTGTCATTGTCACCCATGTGGTCTGATGGTGGCTTTTTCAATCTTGTCGACCATGTGGGGGACCTCCATGTAAAGCTGTGCTCTTTTCCCATGTGGTGTGGTCCAGAAAGTTAAAATATTGACTTTTTTGGCTTTTTTTCATTCAATGCAGGGTCAACATAGGGGATAAAGACACAATTCTCGACATCATTGTTCGTAATGGAGAAGATTTTACTATCGGCACTGACGAGTGGGAATACTTTGGGGGATTTGAAGGTACTGTTTATTTTGATAGAAGCAAGCCAGCATATATTAATCTCGTGAGGGATATAGTTCAACAATAAAGATGCAAAATAGGAAGTTTGCATTATTGTGTTCCTGGAAGCAGCTTGAAGGACGGCATTAGAAACTTTCATGATGATAATGGTGTTAAGGATATCATCTACCATTATCTTCATGGAAAAGAAGCTGTTGTGTATGTTGAGTCCTATAGTGATGGTGAATCTGATGAAGGGGCTGAGGGAGGAGACGTAGGGGATGGTGCTGCTTTACCTAGTACTCAGGTTGGTGCTAGTTCTATTATAGATGAAGCTGGACAAGAGAGGCAAGAGAGGGAGGAGAGGGAGGCAAGCCATGCAACGAGTGAAGAGTTTACTGGATTTGAGTTCACCGGATTGTCGTGGGAAGTTGCTGCATCTAGTGAATCAGATCATGAGGGTGTGACAAATGTAAATTTCCTAAGTGATGATGACGATGAGGAACTTGCATAATCAAGGCAAAAGCAAAGTGAATTTGGAAAAAAATCAGTAGCTGCACTTGGAGGATTGCGTGAAGCTGAACCAGGACATAGCACTGATGGAGCTCCAGCTGAAGGTAACGACACTGATTATGAAGAAAGTGGCTCTAATGAACAAAATGATAGTTCTGAAAATCAGCATGAAGATGATGATCCTGTTGTGCGCAGAAAGAAACGTAAGTATCCGTTCTATGATCCTGGCTCTTCTTCTTCTGTGTTGACTGTAGGTATGAAATTTTCTGATGCCAAGCAATTCAAAGAAGGGATTATCAAGTATTCAATAGCTGAACAGAGGAGTCTTTAGTTCACTCGAAATATGAAGGACTATGTTAGAGCAAAGTATTTTCAACCTAGTTATTCGCGGAAGATATATGGCGCACGTTCAAAGAGGGACGGGTTATTTCAAATTAGGTCACTCCAGAAGGAACATACTTGTTCCATCATGTTTGACAACAAAAGGGTAACGAGTGCTTGGTTGTCGAAGCACTTCTTCAATACCATCAAAGCAATGCTTGATGTGAAGTGTCCTCAGCTGAAGCAATTGGTGAGGGAGCAGGTAGGGATTAATGTGTCACTCAATCAGTGCAAAAGAGCCCAGCAGAAGGTGATGAAAAAACTTCTAGGGAGGTACAAGGAAGAATATGATCAAATTTGGGAATATGCTGGAAAATGTAGGCTGCAAAACCCGGTTAGTCGAGTTTATGTTGAGGTTGTGGAGCGGCCACTACCTAACCATGGGACTAACTTTGACCGAATTTATATTTGCTTTGATGCATGCAAGCAGGGATTTGTTGCTGGTTGTAAATGAGTCATAGGGTTAGATGGATGTTTCTTGAAGGATGTGTGCAAGGGAGAATTGTTGGCTGCCATTGGGAGGAAGGGATGGTAATAACCAGATGTTTCCAATTGCTCGGGCTGTTGTGAAGGTAGAGAGCAAGGACACTTGGTCGTGGTTCATGAAAAATTTGATGGCGGACCTTGATATCACTAATGGAGGAGGTTGGGCATTCATGAGCAACCAACAAAAGGTAATGTTGGTGCAACTGCACAAACAATATTTATGATATATTTTATCTTGCATATGCCTTTGTTAATGCCTTGATGTATGAATTCTTGTAGGGACTTCTTCCTGCTCTAGCTGAGTTGATGCCATTTGCTGAACATAGGATGTGTGCGAGGCACATATATGCAAACTGGGCAAAGATCTACAAAGAAGAGAAACTACAGAAGCAATTTTGGATGATAGCTAAGAGCACTAATATGGCTGATTTTAGAATTCACAAACAGCAGTTGCTTGACTTGACAAAGGACGATTATGAAGCACTTTTCCAAACTAAACTCAAGCATTGGTGCAAGGCCTTCTTCAGTGAAGAATTCAAGAGTGATATCATCGAGAACAATTTCAGTGAAGCCTTCAATGGCAGAATTTTAGAGGCGAGGTGTAAACCAATCATCAGCATGCTTGAGGATATTCGAGTGATAGTCATGACAAGGCTGCGAAGTGGACTAGACAGTGTGGTCCTAGGATTGCTAAAAGATTGGATGACAACTTGGCGAGTAGTAGGTTCTGTCATCCTATCTGGAATGGAGATGATGGCTATGAGGTCATGGAAAAGACAGACAAGTATGTTGTCCAATTGGACAAAAGAAAGTGCTCATGTCGAGCTTGGCAACTTTCTGGAATTCCCTGCGCACATGCCATTTGTGCCATCCAAGCGAAGTATCAAAATCCCGAGGAATACCTGCATGGTTGCTACCATAAAACCACATATCTTGCTACATACCAGTACATGATGCAGCCTATTAGAAGTACAAAATTCTGGGAGGCGAGAAATCATGAAGCCCCTCATCCTTTGCCACTTAAGAAGCAAATAGGAAGGCCTAAAAGGAGACGGAGAAAGTAAGAGGGAGAGCCTGGAAGTAAGAAGATGAGCAAGTCAGGTGCAAAGGTGAGATGCTCATATTGTTGTGAGGAAGGTCACAACAAAAGTGGTTGTCATTTGAAGAAGCAGATGTTGCTTCAACAGCCAAGTGGAGGGACTTAAATTGGATCAAGTGCCGCGCCAACACAAGAACCAACTGAAGGGCCTACTGAAATGCTTGCTGGAGGGCCGGCTAATAGGCATGCTGATTGTCTAGCTGAAGGGCCTGCTGAAGGTCAAGTTCAAGAACCAGCTGAAGAGTCAACTGGAGGCCCAGGTTCAAGGGTAATCTCCTCCTCGACTGTTGCACAGGCTAGGAGAAAATATCTAGTAAGCTATATAGCATATGTATTTGTATTAATCTTTGGTGAGCAGACTTTGGCTTTAGTTGACATTGTTTTGTCCTTATCATGTGAGACGAAGACCAACTGAACAAGCAGCTCAGGTTCCTTAAAGTGAGGTACCATATCAAACAAGAGGGGTCCTTGGCAGAAGATTAAGGCAATATGGTTATGGAATTTATACGGACTTTGATACTGGAATGACTATTTTGCATATAAATTTTGTACATTTCATGCATTTCATTTTTGAGTTTTCACTTTCATGACAATATTGCTTCTTCTGATCCATGTTATGTTGTTATAGCCTGGGAGGAGTTAAGAGGTTTTCATATCTCAAGGTAGACCAAGTCAAGAGTCAAGGGCTGCACCAAAAAGAACCCAACCAACGTCGCAAGCGACTGGTCCAAAGAGAAGAAGGGTGGCTGCAGAGAAGAGTGTTCGTAAATGGCCACTAACAAAGAACCCAACACTAGTTCCTGATCAATCAGCACATGTTGACAGCTCCAAAACAGCCACCAACACCAGTAAGAGGAAGACAGTTGCTGCGCCAAAGAAGAAATCTCGAGCAAGAAGGCCAGTAGAACAACCTGCTGGTCCGACAGTTGAAAAAGATGCAGCTGGAGCAGTTCACGAAGAAGCAGCTCTAGCTGTTGAAGAAGATGTAGCTCAAGCAGTTCAAGAAGAAGTAGCTCCAATTGTTGAAGAGGATGCAGCTCCAGCAGTTTAAGAAGAAGCAGCTCCAGTAGTTCAAGAAGAAGCAGCTCCAGCTATTGAAGAACCTACATCTTCAGAAGAACGACCTGCAGCTCCTCCAGTTTGAAAGAGTCAAAGAATTATGAATCAATTCAAGAAGCTGTCGAAAGAAAAAAGGAAAGGGTGGACTTATCACTATTGACTAATGGGAGGGTGTTGAGGTGGTTGTTAGTTTTTGGGAAATTAGGGAGGTTTACTATATTGACTAATGGGAGGTTGATTTTTTGTGGTCCTGGAATGTTATTGACTAATG